CTTCCACATTCTGAAACAAATGTGCCAACACAACAATTTCTTAAACACAGGACTCAAAATAACAGCACAGCATACCTGTATCTTTCTTTGGAATAAGTGAATTATGATTCTCCAGGGGATGACCAAGACATTCCCAAGAAGTATTCTCTTTTTTCTTTAGGACAATCTCTATCTTTCCCACATTTGCAACAACCCGCACTGAAAAGAATATAAATTTTATTTTAAAACCAATCTTTCTCAAACAATCCAAATGTCTCAATCTGTATGAATGATACTGATAATTAGTAAAATAAATAAGATTTTGTGCACATATTCATCAAAATTTTTATACCTTATATAATGTTAGATGCTCAACCACTGAGCACCACTGGCCAGACAAGTTTAATTTATTTTAAATTTAGATTAACTTCTTTCAAGCTAATTCATCAAGGACCAAACTAATATGTATTGCTAATTTCCATACAAGCTCAAATATAGCTATGGCAACTACTTAACATATATAAAAAGGGAGAGGGCTGATATATACAACCAGCCATTGAATGGACCCATAAAAGCAAATATAATTACACACTTAGTAAGGATCTGAGGGGTATTATGAGTGAATTCAGTAGACCAATAATGAAGCTAATAAACACAGGAACTGCCTCAATAGAATGAGTCCCTATAAAGTGCATGTGAATCTTTGATAATTAAAAGTCTTATACATTATCTTTATTTTTGAATGGTTAAAATAGTTTAGAATATATGGGTAAATAAACTGTAGACTTTCATACATTGATTAAATTTTATAAATCGAATGTGTTGAAGACCTAAAGTATATTTCATTGTGTCTTAAGAAACAATCTGTTTTTCCTCACCATAAGCACAAAATTTCATAGCAATTTAACAACTTATGATAGTCAAATGAATTCAATTTAATAAGCACTGATCTGAAGCTTACCAAACATAAAAACATGGTTTGTGACTTTAAAGAGCTAAATTTATGTAATTTATGCTACTATGGTACATAAAAAGGGGAGACAGACCCAGGGTAAGGTATTCTGACAGTACCTTAAAACAAGAATACACACACGCACGCGCGTGCACACACACACACACACAAAATGGATTGTTATTCAGCCTTTAAAAAGAAGGAAATCCTGCCATGCAACAACATGGGTAAACCTGGAGGGAGTTACGTTAAGTGAAATAAGTCAGACAGAGAAGATGAATATGACATGGTATCTCTTATGGTGGAATCTTTAAAAAAAAATAAAGGTGAACTCATAGAAACAGGGGCTGGTGGTTAGGGAAAATTGGGAAGGGTATAAACTTTCAGTTATAAGATGAATAATCTGAGAATCTAAAGTATAACATGGTCACTACAGTTGATAATACTGTATTGTATAACTGAAATTTACTAAGAGTGTAGAACGTGTGTTCTCACCAAAAAATAAAAAGTAAATATGTGAGATTATGGATGTTAATTAATTCAATTGTGCGAATCCTTTCACAATACATACCTGTATCAAATCATCTTGTTGTACATATTAAAAATGATTTTATTATATTTAAAATAAAGCTTAAAAAATCCCCAAGAAACCACCACTCTATAATGAGTCTTCTGTTGTTAAACAGCTGTGTAAAATCCACATTGTGTATTTATATGCAGCAATATTTACAATTTAATATACTTTATCAACATTAAACATTCAAAAAAGAAAAATTTATCTGGTCTACAATATTTCTACAAGCTGAATGTCAGGAGTAGGGCAGAGATAAGGAAGGAAGGATGGAAGGAAGGAAGGAAGGGAGAAAGAAAGGAAAGAAGGAAGGAAAAAATAAAAGGGAGATAATTTTTTTTTTCCTAAGGAGAAGAAAAGGGAAGAGCAAAGACATAGAAAGAACAAGGGGAAAGAAAATAGGTGGGGGGAACCTGAAATCAGAGGGAGAATATATTTAAAAATTAATGCATTTGTTTATATAAAAAATATCACATCTTTATTTTAAAACAGAAATATAAATATGAAAAATAAAACAAATGCTTATTTCCCCCTCCTTCATATGTAGGTACATATGTATGTGCATATGTGTATATGAATGCATTATATAATTGTTTTTTGGTAAAGCTTACCAGAAAAATCTTCTTGAATCGCATGGCTTAGCTCTGGAAAAGAAAATTTATATATTCGTTAAAACCCAGTAATCCCACTTCTAGGAATATATCCCAAGAAATCAGAAACACCAATCGGAAAAGATATATGCACCCCTATGTTCATAGCAGCACAATTTACAATAGCTAAGATTTGGAAACAGCCTAGGTGCCCATCAGCAGACGAATGGATTAAAAAACTGTGGTACATCTACACAATGGAATACTACACTGCTATAAAAAAGAAGGAACTCTTACCATCTGCAACAGCATGGATGGACCTGGAGAGCATTATGCTAAATGAAATAAGCCAGTCAGAGAAAGATAAATACCACATGATCTCTCATTTGTGGAATATAGTGAACATAAAATGATGAACAAAAATAGATCGAGAGACAGAGAAGCATTGAACTGACTGTCAAACTTCAAAGGGAAGGCAGGGGAGGGGGTGGGGGTAAGAGATCAACCAAAGGACTTGTATGCATGCATATAAGCATTACCAATGGACACAGACACTAGGCATGTGAGGACATGTGCTGGGGGGTGGGAGTGGCCAAGGAGAGGTCAATGGGGGAAAAATATAATATTGTAATAGCTATGTGCAGGCCAGGGGGGTACTTTGAAATATTAGGGTGACCACTTTGTAAAGTATATGACTGTCTAACCACTATATTGTACACCTGAAACTAATACAGAATAATATTGAATATGAAAAAAATAGAATAAAACCCAACTTTAATTCACACAGTTCATGAACATCAAAGAAGATAATTTAAATGGTTCTTTTATGCACTATTTCAAATCTCTCAAGATAAGTAAAACATATTCTGAGAGACCAAAAGAAAGAAACTGTATACAACCAAAATGTAGAGTCAAATCATTTAAACATACTACATACATTTCTTCATTTTTGCTTAATTCTCTCCCTATTAATTAAAGAGTGAACACTCAATTGCTCACAGGTGGTAACCCACACTACTCCAAGTGTGGGTTCCACACTGACAACTCTACAAGCCAAGAAGAGAGCAGGGGAGGAAGCGAGGCATGCACGCATGCTCCGGGTGTGCCGGTGCACATGTGAACATAGGCCAGACCGGTTTAGCTCGGCTTCTCCTTTCTCATTGTTCTCTAAAGTTGAAAAAAGTTTACTGAGCATCTCTGTGTGCCATGCACTTTCTAGGTGTTATGGGCACAGCAGTTGGTGAAAGAGAAAAATCCCTGGAACTTACATTCCGGAAGAGAGATGCAAGAAATATTTTTTACAAACATTTGCTCTAAATTTCACTGTGATAATATGGTTACCTAGAACTTAAAATTTTACATTATTTTGGTCTTCTGATCCAATATTACCAACCATGAGTGTCATATTTTTGAACATGGAATTTTTGTTTGTTTTTTAATAAATGTGCAGAGATATGTTAGCTACATGCAGTGTGAACACTATTAGCCGTAATATTTGAAACATAATAGATGCTGGCACTGAGGTTTCATTTAAAGAAAAATTATGACAGTGCTAATGAATAATGTATACTTTTCTAGACATCTAAGTGTTTTCTAGACATCTCCCAAAAGAGGCAATTTACATTAGACTTTAGGCTAACAAAAAGTAGGATAGGACATATTTCTAGGAGAAAGGTTTGATTTTGATTAATAAATGAAAGGAAATAAGAAAGAAAAAGACATTTATCAACTCTGACCAAATTCAGGACTCTAGGCACTTCACTAATATAACAAAGCATCAAGCAGAATCCTGAGTCAGCTGAGATCTAGAGAATTTCAGTCTGTGTTTTACAAAAGTAAATGAAAGGTTCTATACGTAAGAATTCATACTTAAACCAATTACCAAGATTATTTTCTACTTGCTGTTGTTTTTGTTTATTTCATTTCTACCTTCTAATTAGAATATCATCTTCATAAAAGGAGAGAAGAGTGAAATCCTAGAGTTAAGTTCATTATGGGTCAAAAATGGATTCAGAATCTGGTATCTTTTATTCCAAATTTCAGTCCTGATTTTCTTTCTTTTGATAGATCTGTAATCTCTCAAAACAGACAGAAGTGAATTGTACAGTGGGTCTTTGACCATGGAGGGATATAATACAACCTTGCAGTCCATGCTGCTTCAGTGCAGCCTGACTTCCTTGTGACCCAGCAGGCAAGAAACAGGCCACTGAAACCAGCACCCGGTGACGGGTGCCTACTAGAAGCATGTGACAGACAGGCTTCCAGAGATTAGTTTGTAGATGTCAGGAAGAGTCTGACAAAGCTGGGCCAACAAATATTTCATGTTATTATTTATTTTGATTACATCTAATTATTTAAACTTGAGAAAGGGGAGGTTATACTGCCATTTGCTAGCAATTTCATTAATAGAAAGAAATATCAGAAAAAAGTGATAAAAATGATAAACCAAAATGATAGCATATCAAATATTAAACCAAAATAATAGCAGTTAGCCCTGGTTTGGTGGCTGTTGGTTAGAATGTCGTCTTGTGCACCAAAAGGTTGCAGGCTCAATTCCTAGTCAGGGCACATACATGGGTTTTGGGTTTGATCCCTGGTCAGGGTACATACTGGAGGCAACCGATTGATGTTTCTCTTTCGCATCAATGTCTCTTTTTTTCCCCCTCTCTCTCTCCCCCTTTCCTCTCTAAAAAAAAATGATCAATAAAAATAACATACCCTTGGGTGAGGAGTAAAAAATAACAGAAGATAAATATTTAGTACCTAGACTTCAGACCAAGTTACTGCCATATGTAAAGGACATTGGAGTTGTTTCCACTAATAAAGAATAAAGTACTTACCAATATGTATAAGATATGAATAATCCTTGATGATAGTTTCTGCTCTAAAGGAATCATACTGATGATCAACTATTACTGAGTCTAAATTGACATCCTTAAATAGAAAGCAAAAAGAGAAAGATTAAAAGGTATTTTTTTCCAAACTTCTACAACTATACTTTAAAAATATACATTTTTATTATTTCAGAGAAAAAGGGAGAGGGAGAGAGAGAGATAGAAACATCAATAAGAATCATTGATCAGCTGCCTCCTGCATGCCCCCTACTAGGGTTGGAGCCTGAAACCTGAGCATGTGTCCTGACCAGGAATCTAACTGGGGACCTCTTACCCTTCCCTTTTCTTCTCCTTGGGAAAAAAACACTGAGAAACACCAGCCAGGCCAAAAGAATTTTTAAAAGATGTAATATCTACACTTGATCTTAGCCAAAAATAGAAACAGAGGCATAAATACATAGAACAGACTGACAGTTGCCAGAGGGCAGGGAGAATGGGGGACTAGATGAAAGAAGATGAAGGGATTAAACAAAAAACATATACATAACACACAGACACAGATAACAGTGTGGTGACAGCCAGAGGGAGAAACGAGGGTGGGGCCTAGGCAAAGAGCTGGTGGATACAGAGGCAAAGAGAGTATGCTTGGGGCAGTGGGTGCACCACACAGTGTGCCGATGGCTTTTTAATGAATTGTGTGTGCACTTGAAATCTGTATGGTTTTGTGAACCAATGTCACTCCAATTAATTCAATAAAAAACTTAAAAATGCAATACCTGACTATTTAGGCAGGGCTACGGACCTCTTTTCCCTTAGACCAGTGGTTCTCAACCTTCTGGCCCTTTAAATACAGTTCCTCATGTTGTGATGCAACCATAAAATTATTTTCGTTGCTACTTCATAATTGTAATGTTGCTACTGTTATGAATCGTCATGTAAATATCTGATATGCAGGATGGTCTTAGGTGACTCCTTTGAAAGGGCCGTTCGACCGCCAAAGGGGTCGTGACCCACAGGTTGAGAACCGCTGCCTTAGACTGTCAAATAAAATTAAAAAAAAAAATGACAGCAGCCAACACAATAGCCGTCCAGTGTGAACAAATCAAAATTATACCCATTTTTTGTTAGATTGGCAAAAAATAGCATATTTTTTGTATGCTGCAGAATTTTAGTAGTTTGTGTGTGCAATGAAATAAAAAGGTTGAGAATTGTTGATTTACACCTTACACTGAACACATAATAACACACAGTCATCCATCCTCTGTGCCTCACTGATATTACTAAAGGCAGTAAACCCAGCTTCCTTAGGCGCTGCCCTCTTGGTTTTGGAATGTGCAATGAGACAATAACGAGGGGGAGTGGAAGGCGGGACAAGCTGTGCCTGTGGCACTCCTGGCTCTGTCAGGCAGAGGCTGGTGGCTCTTATGGTCAAGTCCTGCTACAAGAGTCAGAGGAGCTCACTGGCTCAGATGTGGTTTTGCTACTTACAGAAGTAGCATGGATTCTCAGAAACTCCTAGCTGCTAGAACTTGTCTTTAAATCCACATGGTTTCTCAAGTGTGGGAACCTTGTCAGTTGCTGGAGGATGTGTTTGGAAATGTTGTAAGTTGCCTGTTTATCTGATTTCCCAACTGGACTATAAGCCCAATAAAAGCCAAGTCTCTGTATCTGGCATATTATTAGATCCCTGACATCTAAGCACTGCAAATAAAGTAGGTGTTCAAGACATGGTGAATTAATTATGTCCTGAATTTTAATTTCAAGAGGGCATCTGAACCCCATTAGTGGTTTACCTATTCTAAGCCACAGCAGTAGTCTCTCCTGTCTCTCAAATCCCAATTTATGGTCAGGAAATTAGTTCTCATGGTGAAGTTAAATGGGATTCTTGTTTTGCCATCCATGCTTTCAAAAAAAAAAATCATAGAAAAGCACATATAATACTTGCTAGTCTAGTTTTTTCTAAGAGGCTATAGTGTGGTTGTTAAGAGCATACACAATGGAGCTAGCCTGCCTGGGTTCAAAATGCTAGATCTGCAACTTACTATGTGACTTTAGGTAAATAATTTAATCTCTCTTTGTTTCCTGATCTGTAAAGCAGGAATGACAAAAGTATTTCCCTCATTGAGGTAAATGGTGAGGGGTAAATCCTATCTAATAATAGACAAACATGGTAACTAACCATACCTCCGCTACGCTTCCCATTGGCTAATCAGGGTGATATGCAAATTAACTTCCAACCAAGATGGTGGCCGGCAGCCAGGCAGCTGAAGCGAACATGAGGCTTGCTTGTTCCAGTGATGGAGGAAGCCAAGGTTCCCCGCCTGCTGCGGTCGGGCTCTGAGCTGCACTCTAAGCAACAATGTTGCAATTATAGAAGCTAAACAAACCCCAGATACCTGCTTTCAGCCAGCCGGCCTAGGAGCTGGAGCCGCAACAAAGTTTCAATTACAGAAGGTAAATAAATCCCAGAATAAAAAAAAAGAAAAAGGAGAGACTGGGAGCTTCAGTTGCAGGCTTGGCCCGCCTGAAAACAGCCCTCAGCCCCTCATCCAGACTAGCCAGGCACCCCAGTGGGGACCCTCACCCTGAAGGGGGTGTGGGCAGCCTGAAAACAGCCATCAGCCCCTCATCCAGGCTGGCCAGGCACCCCAGTGGGGACCCCCACCCTGAAGGGGGTGCGGGCAGCCTGAAAACAGCCATCAGCCTCTCATCCAGGCTGGCCAGGCACCCAAGCGGGACCCCCATCCTGAAGGGGGTGCAGGCAGCCTGAAAACAGCCATCAGCCCCTCATCCAGGCTGGCCAGGCACCCAAGCGGGACCCCCATCCTGAAGGGGGTGCGGGCAGCCTGAAAACAGCCATCAGCCCCTCATCCAGGCTGGCCAGGCACCCAAGCGGGACCCCCACCCTGATCCGGGACACCATTCAGGGCAAACCAGCCGGCCCCCACCCGTGCACCAGGCCTCTATCCTATATAGTAAAAGGGTAATATGCAAACTGACCCTAACAGCAGAAATACTGGGAATGACTGGTCACTATGACACACACTGACCACCAGGGGGCAGACGCTCAATGCAGGAGCTGCCCTCTGGTGGTCAGTGAGCTCCCACATGGAGGAGCTCAGCTCAGCCACAAGCCAGGCTGATGGCTGCCAGTACAGCGGTGGTGGTGGGAGCCTCTCCTGCCTCCTCAGCAGCGCTAAGGATGTCCGACTGCAGCTTAGGTCTGCTCACCGCTGGCAAGTGGACATCCCCCGAGGGCCGCCGGGCTGCTAGAGGGATGTCTGATTGCCAGCTTAGGACCAATCCCCTGGGGAGCAGGCCTCAGCCAGCAGATGGTCATCCCCCGAGGGTCCCAGACTGCGAGAGGGCACAGGCCGGGCAGAGGGACCCCCCCCCCCCCCCGTGCACAAATTTTTGTGCACCGGGCCTCTAGTAAGTTAATAAAAGAAAAGTGCTTAGAAAAGTACCTGGCACATAGTTAATACTTATTTTTTTTTCCGATTTTAAAGATATGTTTACCTTCTGTTTAGTATATATGACAATGGTGACTAAAGAGTCTGTTTGGAACCAGTCATAGCTGTAAAATATCAAGAAAAAAATGAATTATTATATCAATAATCATGTGCACTAACATAATTAAAATAACTAAAAATCTACAGTGAGAAATATATTTTCTAGGTAAACATTTTTCCTAAGTAATCAGTGGTCTTACCATTATATAATTGGTAATTTTTTCCAAATTTAAAATACCTATATTTCCATGTTCCAACGGATTAAAAAAACACAAACAGGTATTTTTGACAAGACATTTTTTATAAAAGTTACACATCTCCTTACTAAAATTTTCTTTCATTAGAACAAACAAAATACAATATGTTTTCTTAAGGAACATAACAAAATCTACATGCTTATAATTACTTTTACTCCTCCCTGTCACAAATATTATTACTCAAGAAATTAATTCATCAAGGTGGTTTATTGAGTAAACAGTAAAACTTAAGGTAAAACTAAGTCTTCTGTTTTGTAATAGCTATTAATCAAACTGTTACTGTTTTGAACTTATTACCTACATATAGGCACCCATAAGTAAATCCTAGAGGAGGTATCCTTAGGACCTTAACATATATAAAATAATTTAGAAGATTGCATATGAAATAATTTAACAAATATAGGAGGATGCTGCTGATATAATATAGACCAACAATAGGGAAAAAGGCAGAAAGAGAAAAAACTACAAAGAACATAAATAACTCTGAGAACATGTGAAATATCCATAGTCCATATATATGTACGGACTATGGACATTTCATATCCTATATAATAAAAGGCTAAGGTGCAAATCGACCGAATGGCTGAACGACCGTCGCTGTGATGTGCACTGACCACCAGGGGGCAGACACCCAACGGAGGAGCTGCCCTTTGGTGGTCAGTGCTCCCACAGGGGGAGCACCGCTTAGCCAGAAGCCGGGCTCATGGCTGGCGAGTGCAGAAGTGATGGCAGGAGCCTCTCCCACCTCTGCAGCAGCGTTAAGGACCCCTCGGGGAATGTCCCACTGCGAGAGGGTGCAGGCTGGGCTGAGGGACCCCTCCCCTCCCAGTGCATGAATGTTGTGCACTGGGCTTCTAGTATTAAAAATTGTATAAAAAATTGGATATACAAAGAACAGAATAGTTCAATAAATTATGGTATGGTCATATAAAAGAATGCAGACAAAAATGCTTTTATAGAATATTTAATAACATAGGGAATTGGGCATAGAATATATCATAATACCAATATTTTCAAAAGAGAATAATATTGAAGTATGTATTATATGAATCAAACCGGGTGGAATAAACCAAATATTAAGACCTTATATCTAAGGTTGGTGGTATTAACAATTGATTGTTATCATTTTCTTTTGTATTTCTCTGCATTTTCCAAGTTTTCTACCAAAAATGTATATTTTATAATAAAAAGTATTTTGATCGTTTTATTAAAGTATTGGTATTTAAAATGAATCAAACTTCAGTTATATTAAACACTCAAATTTACAGAACAGTTCATTCTCCAATAATGTCTGATAAAGAAAGTCCTTGTGTCAGAGAAGCATGACTAATATAGTAAGCAATAAATCAAACCCATCGCTGTTTTATATTTTAATGTGTATATTTTGGTCTAAAACTGATTTAGCTTTGAAAGAGTAAAACAAGAAGGCATACCTTGGAGAAACCGGGCCTTCTTTGGCAAGTGCATCTGGCACTTGGCTCTTGGGAAGCATGCCTTCACAAGGAAAATAAACAAAATAGCCACAGTTCATCGAGGCAGTACTTTTATTTTAACCTTTTCATTAAACTTCTTATTGAAACATTATAAAAGGACACAAATCACAGATGTACTACTCAATAAATGTTCATAAAGTAAAACATACCCTGTACCCAGTACCCTGTTTGTAACCCCCCCTGATCACCACCCTTCCAACGGTAATCATTATTCTTATAACATCATGATTAGATTATACATGTATTTGACCTTTCTAAAAATGGAATCGTATGACATGTTCTTTTGATCTGACTTTTTTTTTGTCCAGCATTATAGACATTACAGTTCTTAAGTCAAATAAGCATGATTGATAGCAATAAATCAAACCTGGAGCTTTCTGAGATTTTATCCATGCTGTTGAATGCCTCAGTAGTTTGTTCGTTTTTATTAATGAGTAGTATTACACTCTATAAATGTACCAAAATTTATTCATTCTCTTGTTGACAGACATTTGGGCAGTTTTCACTATTATGCAAAGTGCTGTTATAAATATTATTGTACATGTTTATTCTTAAAAAACATATATCCACATTTCTGGTAGGTATATAGGGTGTGCATATGCTTAGCTTTGCTAGATACTATTACACAGTTTTCTAAAATGGTTGTACCAATTTACACTTTTCACCAGAAGTGTTTGAGGGTTCCAGTTGTTCTACAACCTCACTGACATGCGGTATTGTTTTTTTCCATTTCAGTCCTTCTTTTGGGCGTACATCAACAAAACATTCTAAATGTCCATTAAAGCTATGGTTTTCAAAGTTGTATTGGAAAACTCTGAGACATGGAAGAATTCTGTAGATACTGTAAACATGAAATATTTTCCTCCCACAACAGGAATGCACTGCTGTATCTATAAAATTTTCTTTGGGAAAAAGAGTACTGCTGCCAAAAGACTTTTGAAAATCACTACACTGATTATATTATTTCTCAAACTGTGTAGGAAAGGAAAGTAATGTTTAGTTTCTGGTGAGTCTTGAAATTCTCAAATTAGAAGTCACAGTATTTATATAAAGTTAGAGTTGGGAGGTGCCTTTAAGACAAACTAGTTTAGAGGTTTTCAAGATGCTTTTTAGTCGGAAAATCTTCTGTTGAAACACAAGTTTAAGTGCAAGCCCAGGTGTCAAACAGCCATATTTTTAGGATGAGGCTGACTGAGAACCCTGAATTCAGGCCTTACTCACTTAGTGTCCGTCTCATCCCATGGAACTCTGCAGAACACACTTAATTTTCAGATAAACAAAGGAAGTCTCTGAGATGTGACAGAAGGCCAAAGATATGAAGCAATTAGCAGTGAGCCTAAAGAAGAATGCTCTACCACAAAACTACAGGTATAATAAAAGAGATAAGACTACAATAAATCAAAATATATTTTTTCTAAAATGATAAAAACAAGAAAAAGCAAAATTAAGTTCTTGAGAAGCCCTAAAAGATATTTTATTAAGATATATATATATATATATATATATATATATATATATATATATATATATATCACCTTTTGGAGGCCTCTTATATAAATGAACACATCACAATCTAAGAATTTCTATAAGAAAAAACTATAAACAGAATTAATAAAAATATTCTAAAAACTACATAGTACCATACACATATAAATTATTAGGAGAGAATAATGCCATAGGCCAAATAATACACACCTTACACATTATATCCTTGGGATAAGTTGAAGGAATCTGAGATTAATGTGGGGTGGAGTAAAATAATTAGGTAAAGCAAGTTGGACTGAATGGATATTATCCCTCTCCAAAATTCTGATTGATGGACTGATATCAAATTGAAGGGATCAAGTCTCTGGTGGAATACTATAGTAGTTTATTCCATTCAGTATTTTAAACAACTGTATGAATAAAGACTTAGAAGGCAAGCAGATCACATCTACAAATGCATACAGTTACCACCAAGACTTAAATGAGCCGAACATGAGAGGCAGCTAATACAGCAAAAGCAGGTTTACAGTTGTGAGTAGGTGAAACAAAGTTTATTCTTGTATTATTATTATAATCATAACCTGCATGTATTTTTCCTTATAAGTGTAAACCTACTTTTTCTTACCCCTGCATATGTATATGTGTGTGTATAACAATCTCAGAGATCTAAGATCTTAAGAGGTAACTGTGCTAGCCAGACCACTGGTATGTTATAGTCCATTTTTAGGGACACCTTTAACTGAGGTAGTAGTTAAATGCAATGCATCCAAAGCAGGGCAATAAGAAAGTAAAGGTTCTGGAAGCCATATGTGGTGGGAAATGAAATGCCCAGTCCATCAGTAATTAGTCTTTAAGTGAAGGTTGTTTGTGTAATATTACAGAAGAGCCAATCATCAGATGAAATTTAAGATCAGTGCCTCATTTATGCAGTGTTATACTATTGGATAAGCAACTTCGGTTGTTACATTGCAAACTGCATAAATTAGTCTATAGTACAGACTATTTTCTCTACTTAGAAGCCCGGTGCATGGATTCGTGCACCGGTGGGGTCCCTCGGCCTGGCCTGTGGGCATCAGGCCAAAACTGGCTCTCTGACATCCCCGAAGGGGTCCCAGATTGTGAGAGGGTGGTTCTTGGGTGACGCACCCCGGAATCAGGCCCCCTCCTCTCTGGTTCTAGATACCTCACCCGAGAACCACAGCTGCCAAGTCACCACAGCTTGGCAGCTTCTGCATTGAGCATCTGCCCCCTGGTGGTCAGTGTGCATCTAAGCTACCAGTCGGACGGTCGGACGGTCGCTTAGGCTTTTTTTATATACAGATAACTCATCTGGCAATTTAGCTTATTAGCTGACTTTCTAAAACTTTCTTTTGCAGAGAGAAAAAAACCCTATTACTACACATACATTAATATAGTTCAGTTATAATTCCAAGTCATACTGAATGTCTGAAGAAGGCACTGCTGCTTAGCCCAGCTAGAGAAGAGTGGGTTAACAGGCTATGAGCATCTGTATGCAAACACTGGAGGTGACCTCACATGGCCGAGGGAGGTGACTTGTTCAGTCTTACTTCCTAATGACTACAAGTCTTCAAGCTGAGGGCAGATGAACATCAGGGATGTCATAGAGGGGACTACTATTAGAGTAATGGCTGGAATATGGGATCTATAGAGATCTGTCAATCCTTTAAGTTTGGGGAAGTAAAGACATCATTAGCCTAAAAATATATCTGAATACCCCAGGTAATTCTGTAAAGCAATATTACATATTATCAAGTGAGTATGATTCATTTTTCACTATAAATGTATGACTTACCATTTAAGACTTTCTTTTCCTCATGATAGTCTGTACAGTGATTTAGAAAAAAAGTCAGATAAGAATATTATAATGCCAAAGAGAATATCAGTTAATATTATTGACTTAAAGATATCAGCCCTTCTTTCTTGAAGGGCTTTTTTCTAAGGTCTGAGAGAGAAATAAGGGCTCATGTTTCAAACAAGTTTCAGCTCTGAAGATTGGCAGGCCATCTCTCCAGGCATTTCACTGGGCTTTTTATCTACTTATTTGAGTATTTATTCTAATATCCTGATTAACTTTTTAAGAAAACATATAAAAACCCAAATTTTTTCCAGGTTATCGTATTTTAAATTAGTCAAAATTAACAAGAATTTATTAGATTATATTCTAGAAATGAAACGTACATATTAACAACCCAAAAGATGATACTTTATTATGTTTCTCTTTTATCTAGGTCAGTACTTAAAATCGCCACTGTTACTCCAAATTTAAATGGCCATAATGCTGAAAATATGTTGACTTTCATATGTATATAAAATGCAATTATTAGTGTTACAACCCAGAAAAAAAAATTTAACAGGTATTGTTTTTCAGGATGGCAGCCAACTCACCAATCTATATAGCTTGATCACAAGAGTTATACCATATGGTCAAAATAAAACCCACAGCAAGTTGCCAGGGTTTAAAAAAAAATAACTGAATGACAAGCTAACACAAAATATCAAGCAATAAATTGAAAGACATCACTTGTTAGAGTGATAATACCTTGTTTTACAGAAAAAGAAACTTAAATCAAAGCTTTCACATTTTTTATGTTCTGATTTTCAATCAACCAGAGAATCCCATAATAACCTCCATTTCACGCACCTGTCATAAAATAATCATGTTTAACCCTTTGCACTCTGCTGTCCCCTCTCAGGGGACATCGGAATTCTAGCATATCACTCGGATGTCCCCTCTCAGGGGACATTGCAGTTTATGAGTTATTTCAACGCAACTTTTTGAGACATGCATGTTTCCCTGAAGTTTTATCTTGAAATGGCACAAGAAATTAAATCAAAATATCGTAAAATTACTAAGATATATACAAGAAATGTCAGCGGGTTTTGTGTCGGATTAAACAATAAACTACATATTCCCGATGTGGGACAAAGAAAACGGGACTGCATTGTGTGTTCTAACAGGAAAACACCTGGTGGCAGGGGTCAAACCACTTATTACTGTCAAACATGCACTAATCAGCCTGCAATGCATATTGGGGAGTGTTACAAAACTTATCATACTGTACAAAATTATAAACAATAAAATATTGTTTTTTTTGCAAATATACATTCCTCGATGTCACTGAATTCATATAAGTCCAATATCATTATAATACGTTACTTGGTTCCAAAATTATACTAAATAATACGAGGGTCTGTAAATGCACGTTTCCGCCGCAAAGTAGCGTCGAGTAGCTGGTAGCCAATGTCCAGAATGGTTCGGAGTGCAAAGGGTTAAGGGGGCTAGATGACCAGCCTTTTTGTTTATTTTCACCATTTTCCAAAATAATTTCATAGCTGAAAGGAATCTTAACAACATATAGCAAATTATCATGTGATACTCTATTTATGACTGAAAATCAGAGTCCAGAACTTGAATGAAATCCACAGCTCTTAAGCAGCAGCCAAGATTAGACTCCATCTTTTCTGAAACTTAGCACCACACTTATTATAACATTGCTAGAGTTAATACTCACTGAAAACACAAAAGACCTAAAAACCATTTAGACTATAACTTAAAATGAGCTTTTATCAAATGCCAGATAAAAATCTAGTCATTATAATTTTCAAGGGACCGCTGATGTCCCTGCTTAGTCACTCTCATTCAATCAGTTTTATCTGTCTTTGCTACTGCAGTTGTGATTCTTTGTTTTATCTTAGAACGGCAGTATCACAAGTAAATCTATTTTCAGTGTACCACACAGCTGGCAGTTTGATGAATTTCATTTATCATGTAAAACAATTTGTTTTTATCTAAGAGGCTCACAGATTTTGAGAAATTGTCCAAGTAATTAGTTTCCACTGAAAAATATGTATTCACTTCTTGCTTGATCTGAATTGATTTGAATCTGTCAGAATCTTCTGGATCCTGATAAATTAGTAATTTTTCCCTGGTTCTTTTTTTAATACAAAAAGTATCAGTAGGAAAAGAACTTCTAACCAAATGACCTAAATTATCTTTAAAAACTCTATGAGTCTACTTTTGCAGCTCTTTTCAAAAACTGAGTCATAGAAATAAAAAGACAATTTTTTGGCTATTAAGCATATTTACATCTGAATCATTTTAGTCACTGACATGAGACACTTTGCTATCTGACTAGAAACCTGTTATTCTGTCTTGATAACTAATTCATCATTTGGTTGGCTCCATGGCCAAGAGAATTTATCTTTTCTCATAATGTCGTATGAACTGCATTACTCTGCTTGGAACCTCTGCTTTGTGGAGAGGTCGGGGTCATTAGGAAGGCTCGCACTGTGACCTATCAGCATCCTGCTCTTCTCTGGTAAGAGGGCTAGGTAAGCACTTTTAATTGTGACCCCAATCTAGTTCACCTCTGCTGAGTGGAGCCACAGGCAGATCCCCTGGGGTGAAAAAGAAACAAAAACCCTGCTTTGCCAGTATGCTCATTCTTTTAACATATACCTGTTGATCATCATCTTAACAGGGATACTGACATAATAAGAAACTATTTGGATAAAAAGTTAGGACAATGTAAATATATAGATAGTTTGCCTATACATGAATGAAGATAATTAGGAAGGATTCACAATAAAAGTAGTAATATGGTTACCTTTGTGTGTGCATGGAAGGAGAGAAGGGTAGAGGGGAGACAAGTATGATAAGAGCACTTCTCATTCTTGAATTGTGTGAATGCACTACTGACTCAAAAATTAAGTAAACCTAACTAAAAACAAAATGTCATTACATATATTCTTTTTAATTCAATGTGATAAATGCTGTAAAAGAGGTATGTAGAAGGTAGTATGGGAGCCTACAGAGGGTGGGCATCTGTACTTACAAGGAATTAGAAAGACTCCACTAAGGAAGTAATATTTAGCTACATTTTAAAACTATACATGCATTTGTCAGAAAGGCCTTGAAAAAACATTTTAGGAAGATATATACTGAGCATTTATATCAGAATGTTTTCCATTTATCACGTAGCTACATCTCATCTTCCCTTCTGACTCTAAAAAGGTTGATATCATGAAACCATCAGATATAAGTTTAGTCTTGTTACCAGAGATCTTAGTCACAAAGTCCAAAACATACCATAGTGTTCCCTTCACTGCTTAGCCTTGCCAGAAGACTCTTTGGCTCTCTACAATGTGTTTAACAACCATTTTGTCTCTAGACATTCTTCCATTATCTCTAAATGGAACTCCTCATAACACAACTTAGGCCTAATTCTTGATTTTGTTTCAAAAGTTACATACTCATTTCTCATCTACACTAATAAAAGAGAAACATGGTAATTAGCGTACGACTGCTACCCTTCCCATTGGCTAATCAGCATATCCTTATGCAAATTAACTGTCAGCCAAGATGGCGGCCGGCAGCCATGCACTGAAGCGAACAGGGAGGCTTGCTTGCTCCAGTGACTGCGGACTCCAACATTCCCCGCCTGACTTGCCCGCCTCTCAGCTGCAACTCTAAGCAACTATGTTGCAAATATAGAAGCTAAACAAAACCCTAGAAACCGGCTTTCAGTCAGCCGGGCTTCAGCCAGCCTGACCGCAACATTGTATCAAATACAGAAGGTAAAGGCCAGAAACCTGCTTTCAGCAGCCGAGGCCTCAGAGCTAAAGCTGGCCCAGAATAGAAAAAAGAAAAAAGAAAAAAAGGAGCAGTTGGGAGCTTCAGTCAACCGCCAGCCTGAAAACGGCCCACAGCCCCTCACCCAGACTGGCCAGGCACCCCAGTGGGGACCCCCACCCTGATCCAGGACAGCCTTCAGGGCAAACCCAGCCGGCCCCCACCCATGCACCAGGCCTCTATTCTATATAGTAAAAAGGTAATATGCCTCCCGGCACCGGGATCAGCAGAGCAGCGAAGCCTCCTGGCACCGGGATCAGCATGACAGGGGGCAGCGCCCAAACCCCCTGATCGCCCTGCGGCTCTGTGAGTGACAGGGGCCGGGGCCACAACCTCCCTATCCGCCCTGCTCTGTTCGTGACAGGGGAAGGCGCCCCAACCCCCTGATCAGCCCTGCTCTGTGCCTAATAGGGGGGAGCTCCCCAACCCCCTGATCGCCCTGCGGCTCTGTGTTTGACAGGGTGAGGCGCACCAACCCCCTGATCGCCCTGCTCTGTGTGTGACAGGGTCCG